AAGTGCAGTTGCTGCATACCATCCCCCATGTCATCACTCCTGCTTAGTGCAGGCCCCCACATCCCTGTCAGGTCAGTTGAATCAGGGAATGGATGCAGATGCAAACTTGCTTGTCAGGTAAAGAAAAGAAGAAGGGTTGGGTTTTTTTCTGTTCCCTGATACCACGCCATACACAGACACCAGACTCCTGGAAGAGGTTGGAAACCTGTAATCTGAGATGGAGCGGAAAGCTAAACCGTGTCTTTGGACATAGCCTGCATTTAGGTCAGCTTAAAGCAATTGTTACATGGACACCTAAGGACAGTAAAGTACAAATTCCTGGTTTTAAGACCCAGCTATACACGTTATCTGCTAGCATGGTTGTAGATCCCATCCTGGAGTCCATGGATGGATGCAATGAACACTGACATTCCCAGCAGCAATTTTCTGCAGTTTGCCCAGCGGGATGAAGAGCAATCCTTTCACAGCTGCAGATTTGTCCACCTGTGTTATCTGCACTGTAGCTAAATCACTTAAAAGATCTGAAAATAGACCTGAGGCTCTGGTCTTGTCTTGCATACATCAAATGCAGCAGGGAGAAACCACGTGAACTCAGCAGAGTCCAAACAGCCGTGTGTGTAGGCTATATATAGGAGAGCGGGTCATGTTACCAATACACGCAACTTGCTCTAAATACATTATCACAACATGGCCCAGAGACTTTTAAAGAGAAACGCCCGTTCCTGTGTCTGCCATTGGCCCAGAAAAGTCTGCAAGCTTCATTGCCACATGGCAGAAAAAAAATGCTTTGCCTTGCTCTGCTGTGTCTGCACGTGATGGGAAAGAAGAGTTTGTGTGGAGAGCATGACCTATGATTTGAAATCAGATCATGAAGTTTTGGGAGGCTCTTTAGTTGCATGGAGTCTGGGATTGTACCAGTCCCATCAGAGACTGCTGGTCCTGCCTTTCTTCACCCCGTCCCTCCAAAGATGCTGCTGATGGGGTGGCTGACTATAAAGAGAGGGAAAATTAAGCGGCTATGCAAATTCCCCTCCTTTTCCTCCTCTGATCCACATTCTTATAAAAGGAAAGTGTGAGAAATGTTGGGTGCTCTGAAATTCCTTCTTTATGAACAGGCTGGTTTGATCTCCACTGAAATAACAGGTAGTACGGGCACCCAAAATGAGTCATTCCAGGGAGTTATTTAGATCCCTGTTCCTTGCTGTATGGTCTGTGGGATATGAGGAGTCAAAGGGCAGAGACGGACTCCAGTCATCGCTGCTGGTGTTCGGTACTGCTCTTGAAGTCTGCAGAAAGATCCTGAGGTGTGTTGAGTCATGCTGATGTGCATGTCTTTACCAGCTATATAAACAGGTCTTTGCAGGGTCAGGACCTGCCTTTTTGGCTGGGTGATGCCTTTCAGGGGGTGAAGGAAAGTTCATACCCTTCAGCTATAACTCCTGGTTCCTTTCCTTCTTGGTGATGCTGATCCTCATATGATGAACTCATTTTGCATGCACAGAGAGATGGAAATATTCCCTCTGACCTCTAGAATATGAGAGTTTAATGACATTGGGAAAGCAGCATCCAGAAATACTTCCCTTCTCCTCTCAGTTGGCCCCCATTCAGTAAATTGCCATCTTTACTTCATCAGGCATGCATCCATTTTCTTTCAGCAAAACACGAAGCATAAATCCCACTAAAAGCAGATGTCCTCGATGCAGTTCTTTGTTGAGTATGAGCAGGAACACATTTCTTCCCATCTCCTTAACCACTATTGATTAAGGATATTAAGGAGTTTATTACTTCCTAATATCATCTGGGAATGATTTACATATGTTGTATTATTCTCCGGTGTGGGCAAAGCTCCCCTGTGCCCTCGAAGCAGGGTACAGTATTGCTGAACCACAATTACACTGTATTTAGTGTTTATTGGAGGAGAGTTTGCAGGTGGGCCGTTATAGAAAGATGCATTTCATCTTAGTTTTCAGATACCTTACAGGATCCTTTCCACTGGGAAATTAAGCCGACGCTCTCCATATCCATTGCAGCTGCTTCTAGTGTTAAATTAAGCTGGTGCTATTACAGTGAGCCATTGCTGGAGCGGAGTTGTGTTGTTCCTTAATTGTTTATGGTTGTGGATGTGAGCCAAGTAGCAGTCCTGTAGTGGCAAATGCTGGAGATATGACCTGGAAAACAGATGTTTGGTCCAAAGCCAAGGTGGTTTCAGGAAAGACGGTGAGAGAGAAGCAGGAAACTAGTTATCTGTCTGATTTATTGTACAGGGTGAAGAAATTCACCCCGGGGCAGAGTGCTCACACGAGGCTGGTACAACAGTAAACTTTGATTTTAACCCGCTTTTAGCTATCCTTTACAAGGCTTCTGTGGGCAGCTGTTGATTTGCTAGTGCTAACACCAGGTTTTGCCAAACCTACATGCTTTGCAGCTGTGTAGAAAATTCTCACCTGTTTGGTGATGGCTGCAGAATCTCTCTCGCAATAGACTGGTTTATGTGAACCCCAGCATAAGTCTTTTATATCTGATACAATGCAGGGGATTTTTTGAAGTGTAATGGCTTGAGGAATCTGATGAAAACCGGATCTCTACAGTGGAGGTGCTCTGTGTGAACAGAACATCCCCGGGCATTCCCCTTTGCTCTCAAAGGAGAGAAATGGCCACATCACATGCAAACAGAGGGGTCTAAAATGGGTTCAGCTCATGAACTGAGGATGCCAGTATCTCTCCGTCCCTCTCTCGGGAGCCCAGGTAACTGCCTCACGTGGAGATACAGATACTGTAGACATCCAGGATTAGGCAAGATCTGTCCCACCCGTACCTTCACAGAATCACAGGCTGGTTGATGTTGGAAGGCACCTCTGGAGGTCACCTTGTCCAACTCTCCTGCTCAAGCAGGGGCACCTGGAACTCATTGCCCAGGACCACATCCAGACAGTTTTTTAATATCTCCAAGGATGGAAATTCCACAACCTTTCTGGGAAACCTGTTCGTGAAGTGCTTAATTGCACAGAGCCAAATTGAAGTATTGCACTGGAGGGGAGGCAGGGGGTATCCAGCATTTAAAACTAAGAAAAGTTTTAAATATCACTGTTCAGGGGGCTGATCCACAGATCTTGTAGAACATCCAACCAGTGATTTTTGGAGCAGTGATGCTAGTATTTAGCAGGACAAGATGCTTTCACGGTTTTAACTATGATGTAATCTTATTAATTTCATTGAAATGTGATGAATGCCAGGCTCAAACTTTTAGCCCTAATTCTGTTTCTTTAGTTGTTGAGCCCATAGTGTTACTACATTTTAGTGCTGAGGAGTCATCTAAAATCCTCTGGCTTCCTTTGGCAACACTCATGTTCTTAGATGCCCAACGTGTTGACTACCAATTGTGGCTAGCACTCTTGAGTTTTTAAAGGTGAATTTTGAAAGACCTGGTAAGGGAGTGCTTACAGCCCTCCCTGCACTCCCTCCTGTTCCGATCCATGGAACAATAGGTTCTTAAAGCCAAGGATGTGGGAATTGGGGATTTGGGAGACGATATAGAATCTTCTCTTGTCCAGCAGTCACCAGAAGGATTAGTGGAGTATGGCAGAGGCAGAGAGAATACATCTCCATTCACACACAGAGGCATGATGCAGGTGTTTTGACTGTTGGCCTTAGTCTTTGGGTCATTAGCTTTCCACATTGATGCTACATTTTGCAGACAGAACATGCAACTACTTGAATTTCCCTTCTTCTGCCAGAGACCCTTTGATTTGTTTTTTCTTTTGCCTTAGACTAAGTAGGCTTCTTATTTTTTGTAACAAAGGAAATGGCTAAATAATTGTATCAAATGAGAGGGAATATACATACACATAATTCTTGCTGTTAAATTTATTCTTTTCTGTCTTTCCTGTTAAATAGATTTTTTCCTACTTAATTTGATCAGACTTCTCCGCTTCTGTCAGCCCAGGAAGAAATTTTAGCCTTTTTCTGCCATGGGCCGCTCATAAACCATCCTCTGTACTATTGTGCAGTGCCACAAATGCCCCTCCTTACAGAGCTACCCATGCTTGAATATCTAAATGCAAGCGGCTTTCCAGATCAAGTCCATCAGGCACTTGCTAATGTGTTTTTGAAACACCATTGAAAGAGATGCTGACCTCGTCTAGAGGAGAACAGGATTGCCCTGATCTCCTGCATCCAGCCCCAGGTGGTGCTTTGATTTTCCCACTAGCTTCTGTAAAACTGCAAAAGTGCTGATGTTTTCCCGGTTGAGGGCAAAGCCACATGCAGGGGTCCTTGAGGAGGTCTGACAGCTGCTCGTGACCCATGATCTGTGCATTCATAGGGATACACAATAGACGTGAGTCACAGGAATATTTTCTTTCGTCCTGTCCTGTCCTGTCTCCCCAGAAACCTGATGGTTTTCTTCAAGCGCAATATCCAAGAGGGTTTATGAGTCTTTACTATTTTCTTGAAAATTCAGCCCAGTTGTTAACTAACCTACCCAGGAGTGGAAACGGGAGTCTTCCTGTGCTGTCCATTGTATAGATTACGTAGGGTAACAAATGTAGGGAAACCTTCCAAGAAGCCTACCCTGCCAAAATCTCTATCAAAGAATACCTGCAGTTGGCTTTAAGGGCCATCTGTTTGCCAAAATGTCAGAAAGTGTCACAGTGTGAATGTTCAGTACTTGTGACTATTCAGTCCAGAATATTTGGTGTTTCCATCCCAGAGCTAACTGTGGCTGTTTGTCTTCATTTTATAAAACAGGAAGAAGGAGAGTAACTCCCCATATTGAGGACACAAGCAAAACAACAACCTGCTGCAACCTGGCAATGCACTAACAGAAAGTTGTTCTGAGTTTTACAGTCGCCCTGGACATTTGCACGGGGAGCTGATGGAAACTCATCACTCCACACTGCTGGATAAGAGAGAAGACACTCAAGCAAAGGGCTACGTCTTTGATTTCTCAAGTTTTCCACTTTCCTTGATGGCCTTGCCTCCTGCCTCCTTGAACAGAGAGTCCAAGTTTTAAAACCAGCCCAGCCAGAGGAGCAGTTATCCTCATTCTTTCAGCTGAGAAAATCCTTTCCATGTTATCCACAGTTGTGATGAAAAGAGAAGCCCCTCTTGCCAGAGACTGAATTTGTCTGTCAGAAAAATACCACTTACAGGTAAGAAAATGCCATTCCCAGAAAATAATCTGGATCTTCTTCTGTGTGAGGCTAGAGAAGCTGCCCTTCAGGTAGAGCATTTTATGTGTAAAAAGAAAAAGAGACAGGCTGCATCCCACACCACAAGTCATTCAACTTTTTGTTGTTGTAGTTGAACAATAAATTGTTATCAATATATTTGAGAGGTAACAGCTGGTGATAGGACTCTTTTAACTTTGGTGGTCCAAGACACAGGCATCTGCAGCTGAGTTCAAAGTGCCTCTTGCTCCCCATTGACTAGAAGGGAAGCCAGGAATGACAAGCTACAGCAATTAATAATTTCTGGTTTCATTAAATCTTCTCTCTGGAAGCTCTGAAAGGGCCTATGGAGAAGACCAACCCAAAGGCTTTGTTGTGTTTCCTGGCATCTTGATTTTATACGTTTCAGTTTGCAGCTGCTTAAAATTATCCTGAGATCCACTTTTTTTTTTTTTTTTTTTTTTTTTTTTTTTTATCTCTCACTCCACACAGTGTGGTTCATAGAAGCTGAATTTGCTCTTTAGAGCTTCACTTATGAATATGGGTCAGCACCCAGGCAGTTGAATACCCGAGATAATTTTCATGCTGTATATAAATAGTACACAGTTATTTCACAGTTTCATGTTCAGCTTGCAGGCTTCCAACAGCCTTGTATTCCCGAAACCCTTTCTATTCTCATAGCACTCAGGTTCTTGAACACGTGACTCAACATAAATTACAGCAGAGGTTATCCCAGCCAAGAAAGTCCTGATTTGGCTTCTGTGTACTGTTGTTCTCGTTCCTGACGGTTGGCGTCTAGTCCCTAGCACTCAAAGCTGCTGTTGAGGGTCTTTCTAGCCCCGAGATGAGTTCAGCTACACGGTTAAGCCAAGGGCTGGGTTACGCTACCTTACGCACGTCAAGTGGCAGTCGGTCAGTCCATCATCTTGCTAGACAGTGGAGGAAGTCTGAGAGTGTCCAGTTGGATGGATAACTAACGGCCAGCATACCACTGCCCCACAGAGATAAGAGTCTGGTTAAAACTGAGGGAATTTTTAGACTCTTCCCAAATATCGCCTGTCTTTTGTTTGACACAGGACTTGTCATGTCTCCTTTTCTGCGTATTGGTTTATCCAACTATGACAGCGGCCCTTACCTGCCATCCCAGGGGGAGGTGATTAACCCTTACTGTGCCGTGATGGTTAAAGAAGCCGTGGAGTCAGGTAAGTGGGGAGTTGTTAAATATGCATGTGAAATTTTATAAAATATATGTATGCCTTAACTGTGTCATTTCTGGGATATAGGGAGCACATTGGTAAATCTCCATAAGGGTTTGTGAAGTGCTTTTTGTGTCTTGGCACAGTGCAAGTTTGGGTTTGCCATGGCCTGCAAGGCAATCTGGTTTTAAGATTATTCCCGACCAACTTGTGTCTTCAATTTGCGGTTATTATCAACTGAACTACAGGTCCTAGCATGTGGCAAAGCAGATGAGCTGAGCTGTACTTGGTTTCACTTTTCTATGAGCAGTTCCTGGTTTGTCAGTGGGACTCCAGACAGATGAAATCTGGGTGTCCTAGAAATAATCCTGGGAGGGCTGTCTTTTTTTTACCACATTTTTTTGAGGAACTGACAGGTCCAGCAACTTCCATCATTTAAAAAAAACAACCAACCAACCAAAAAAAAAAACCAAAAAAACAAAAAAAAACAACTAGCTCTCAGACAGCCTCAGTCTTTGCAGAGAGACTTAATTTCTCTGCATAATTGCTGTAAAATGTTTCAAAGTGAAACCTCCCGCTAAGCTGTTTCTGTGTCTGGATATATGGATTGTTGCACAGTTTTCCAGATTGAACAACACTGATGAATCCTCATTGCAAAAACATTTCTTGCATCTCTTGTGCACGAAAATAGTCTCAGTGAGAAGATGGAAGGTTCTGCTTTTTAAGAATAATGAAGATCAAAACCTTCAGCGTTAGGGAATTCCTCACCTTGGCTGTTATTTATATTAAATCTTTGATAAATGTCTAACTTGACTGCTGTGATTCTTTAAAAAATTAAATTAACTCAGAAATCCCTTTTATACCTTGAGAATCCCCATGACACTAATCCCCAGAGGATGTTAAAGTGTTTTTTAAAAATACATTTTAGAATTTTAAAATGATTCTGTATTTTACTGGCTTTTTTTTTTTTTAATTTGTTTACTTGTTTGTTTAAGAGTCAGAATTTATCACATAGAACTTTAGCTTGGTTTAAATGATACTTTAAATGATTATGGAAGATGTGATGACTAGTAAATACAAAAGGAAAGAAAATACTGCATTGTGGCGTACTGATGCTTCTTTCCCACACAGCATGAGAAGATATCCCTAAGATCTCACTTTTTAACTGAAAATATGTCCTATTTTAGCTCCGTATGGGGCTTGGCTGTTTGCTTTAATGAGGCCTTTGAAAGCCATAACTCAGATTGAAGTCTCTGTCAGTTCAAAAGTGAATAAAATCAATTCAGTCAGAGCAGACCTATATTTATTTGTCTTACACGGAGCTGAAAGCATTTTCTGGCATCTAACAAACACAGATATACTAAGGGATATAATTTTTGAGTTCCTGAGAGTAAATAATTAATAATAATACTTCTACCAACAAGAAATAAAAAAGTGTGTTTGGGGAAGGATTTCTGCATTAGTAAGGATTGAATATAGGAAAAATGGTGACCTTCTATTAGAAGATATGTTTGCTAGGGTGTTTTTGCACTCGTCCAGCCATTGCTCAGAGCATGGTAGGGCAACCAGGGGGACTGATTAATCTCAGACTCCCCTCTTAGGGTGGGTTGAACCACCCGTGGGAGGTGTTAATCTGCTGCTGATGGAGGGTGTCTAAATGTGTAGATGGCTAACTTTACCTTAAGGTGACTAAACCAAGACGAGGCCACAGTGAGATCCATCTCCCCTATAATTCTAGACTTCTGCAAGGATATTGATATCTGAGCAAGTCAGCTACCCTTGCGTTATAACCGAGGGGAACAAACAGGGATTTCTGTGTAGGAAGACATCCATAATGGGTCTGGTGAATCACCTCCTAGAAAAGCCCAGTGCTCTCCGCTGACTCCAAGGGCAGTTTGGACAGTCCACTCAGAGGGACGTGGCTGATGTTCAGTGAGATGAGCCCAACTCTACACGCCAGAAATGCTTTCAGCATGACTACTCTGAGGAGCTGTCATGCTCAAACAGGTTTAGAGAAGGCAACAGGCAAACAAAGGTCTCAGGACAAACATTAGCTGTTTATATTTGCAATAGCTGCATCCTTACTCTGTGATTATTATTTTTTTTTTAAATCACAGTTTGCTCTCTGGCTCCCTGGTTTCACAAAGCACTTGCAACTCAGTGGTAATAGGATTTAAAACAATATTGTATTGGTGCCTTGATATACAAATTTTGGCTAAAGTGGCATGTCCAAGGAGCAGGAATGGATCAGCTGCACAGCTGATAAGAGATTCACACAATCCGGACTCCCAGCCTTGTGATCTGATACATGGCCATTGAGATTTCTTCAGGGCAAATGATTGCTATATAGCCGTGAGTGCAGAATGTGGGGCAGGATGTGCCTATACCCAGAGCTGAATCTGGTGTAAATCCAGTCCCAAATCCCTGAAGACTCTGTGCTCAGACTGGCTTGGTAGGTGACTCTGCTCTGACTTTTGCAGTGCCCTGTTATGGATCGTATATATACACCGTGTGTAGTATTAGAAAAGAGTGAGGAGTTTTGGGTATTTTTTTTTTGTTCATTCGTTTATTTGTTTTTGCAAACAGAGCAGTGGTAGATGATAAATGTGTTTGGTTCCCAAAAAAAGGGAGTTTGAATCTGACTTTGGGTTCATGCCAAAGGCTGTCCCTTGTCGACCAGCTGTGATGAATAGGTCATTGGGATAGAGGTCCCCAGGGCTCTGGGAGTAATGCACGTCATCTGTGAACACAGGGATGTCACAACAAGGCCACCCTAAAGAATTTCGAAGCCCAGGAAAGATCTTTTTGCTTTTTTCCACTTGTTCATTTTGTAAAAGGGGATCCTGGTATTTTATGGTATAATCCTTTTTATTAAAAAAAAAAAAAAAAACACCCAAACAACAAAATAAAAACACCTCCATGTAGTTAGAAGTGTAATAGCAGTTTGTTACTGATGACAAACTGTTTCAGAGATTATAGGTGCCGCTGAGGTATAAAAAAATCTGCCCTTTAAAAATGGCTTCTGCCTTCACAAGCTATCCGGCCCGGTGCCATTTTACCACCTGTCTTGGTGACATTTGCTTCGTGAAAGATCCTGCTCTGTGTTTGAACTCAGCAAAGCCTCCAGGAAAAGTGCTCCCAGCTACAGTGGAAGCTACTGCCCGAGAAAGACAGATGCTATTTTATTTTTCAGGAACCCAGGGTTAGATTAATCCCTGGCAGAATTCCACAGACGTCAGCGGGGATGCGCCGGGGGTGACTGTCTGATCCCATATATTGGCCAGTTCATTCACATTCCAGGGTTTGTTTATTTAAGCCGTACGTTTTGGAGTGCAATGCAAACGAAAGCACTTGTTTTGCAAGTGCTGTGTTTTACATCCGTGGAGTTTCACTGATGTAGCAAAGAAATAATGGTCCTTACTGAGGACTGTTCTCTGTGATGCTGGGAAAGCTGTGTCTCGTTTTTATGTCTCGTTTTGTCTGCTTTTGTTGAAAGAGTGAGTTGAATGTATGTTTGCAAATTTGATGGGAATTAATTAAGCCTGCAGACAATTAGCTCAGTATACGATTGCCTAAATCTGCGTATGTGAAAAGTCAACCTCACATAACTGAATACAGACAGATTCACCTTAGGCTCAGGTGCTCTAAACTTTGGGGAAACTGAATTTGAACATAAGATTTAGCTGCCCAAGCACTTATCATGCCGAGCAAGGATGAGTATGAGAAGTGATTTAGGCTGCAGGAATTATCTCTGCTCAGTTTTGTGATGCAGACCAGCACTGATGGTCAGAAAGGACTGCAGCTCAAATTGAGTTTTTGGGATGGAAACAAGTGCAAAAGTGCTTCGTGAGAGCCAGATGTTGGGTTGTGGAGTGAATTTCAGCAAGTCAGTGTTGGCTGCAGGATCTTGCATGCCTCCCCTCAGGAAGCTGCTTTCTCAGCCTAAATCTATGTAGTGAATATAGTTCACATCACTGGCTCTGGAAGTTGTTTCTCCTTTTGTAGGAAACCAGTGCACAGGGTGGTGAAGGGAGATTTTATAAACCCACAGCCCGATATTTGTTCTCTCCCCAATACATGTTCTCTCATTTCCTGAGGTGAATATTACATAATCAGAAGTCACTCTTTCCTTTTTTCCTTCTCTCCTCCCTCCATAACTTTGGAGCTTGTTTATCAATTTTAATCCATCCTGAAGGTGTGGTACAAGCCTCAGAAATCCCTGAGTTCCTGCCTGTGTAAACCAAAGCTGGGCAGAGGGAAGAAACCTGAATTAGTCCTCCCATCTAGGGAAAGATTTTCTCCCGCATGTGTCATGTTCCAGGCTATCAGCTGCATGTGTTTTTTCCAGCTGGGTGCAAATAGGGAAAGGCTGGGATTGTTGGAAATAGGAGCAGGGTCTTTAGGAGACAGGAATCACAGATCTGCTGCTCACACAGCTGCTTTTTATCCTCCTATGCCACCAGCTTCAGCATTTGATGGTTTGAAAATTTGCAGAGGGTAACTGAAATAGAATTTACCTTGAGGAAGTGTCCAAGCCTTTTACAGGGCTGTATGAGATAAAATGGGCTGTGTTCAATAAATAAAGCTGGCTGAGACTCTTTTCTGAAAAAACTAACTGGAGATAACTCTCCGCAAGCTAATGTTAAACCTCAAAGATACTCTTCACAATCTTAAGATGTGTCTGCTATCAATGAAGATGAATTAATACATAGGGAAGAGGTTCAGGGAAAGTTTACTAGGTTGAAAACTCTGCACTGCCGTGGATGTAGCTTCAGGTCTGCAGGACAGTTCATATATTGAGTTAGCTGAGACGTACCAACTGACAGGACATGTGCTCCAGCTGAACCTTAGTCACAAAGTGCACAAAACTTTGGGGGGGATTGAAGGAAACCTGTTCTGTTTTTCATTGCCATGAGACAGACGATACATGCAGCTGGTAATCTGTGATGAGATTCACCTGATTAGATGGGAGTATCTACGGTGTTGAAGTCTACATTTGAGATCTACTCAATAGAGTTAATGGAATCAAGGGTGGAAATTATCTTTTCTGAGGAAGATGTCTGTATTTGGTCAAATAGACACACCCTAACTCCATTGATTTATACTGACTATATTCTCTTCACTGGCTCTGAATGGAACCAACGTTCAGACAGCTCAGATATGGGCTTGCACATTGTAGACACCTAAGGCTAAGTGAGTTGAATCTCATCCTAGGTTTCACTTCACACAGTAACCTCCTAAGACATGGTCCATTACAGACCATGCCAGGAGAGAGACCCTAAAGTGGGTAAATAACACAAATCTGTCTCAGGGACTGTAGACTGGTACCCTTAGTGCACATGAGATGCAAATCCAGTCAATCCACTTCTTGTTGACAGAAAATGGCCAAGTGTACGTGCAGAAGAAGCCCACCATGTACCCACCCTGGAACAGCACTTTCGATGCCCATATCAACAACGGCAGGGTCATGCACATCGTTGTCAAGGACAAAAGTGCCGAAATGGTTTCAGAGACCACGGTGGAACTCAAGGTGCTGGCGGAGAGGTGCAAAAAGAGCAATGGGAAGACGGAGATATGGGTGAGCATCATGAGCTCCTCTTGCAGAATGTGATGGGGAACCTCTGTGGGGTAGGGGAATGCCTCATGTCTGTACCAGGCTGGGACTGTAACCAGCGGGACAGCAGGAACAGGCTGCGATCCAAAGAATAATTATTTGAGTCTACTTGAGTATGACTTGAAGGACGACTTCCATGCGCTTTTTTTTTTTTTAAAAAAAAAAAAAAAAAAAAAAGGCATGGCACATTTACAGTACCTGCTGATGTTATATTGAAACAGATGCTCTCTATTAGCAAGGATTCTGGTTTGGGTGAGCCATACCCATGTATTAATCTTCACTTAGGAAATCCACCGGGGACAAATGGTAATATGAGTAGCTAAATGTGAATTATTTTATGTGCTCTGGGGAAACAGCTCTAAAATTTTAATCTGATATCAAGTAACTGATTCACAGCTGCCTGACTTCAGAGTTATGTCAGAGAAACTCCTTTAAAATCACTGGAGTAAATTTGAAGTAAGTCTTCATAAGGTTGCTAAATGTAAGGTTTTGTTCCCTGGTAGTCCAAGCAAGAAAGTTTTTGATAATAGTCTTTAACATGTAGTGTTCAGTATCAATGCCACAAATAACAGTAACATGGAAATACTTTCGGAGAGAAAGTGATTTCCTGAACTATTTTCTTTGTTTTATTTCTCATGCCAGTTCTCAGGCTAAACTGCTTGGGTTAAGCAGAGAGTAAAAATGTGAAGAAAGCCTTGGTCACTTAACCTGCTTAAGAGCAAGATTTGGTAGAGATTTGCACATTTAACACAGAACTTGGAAGGAATTGATATACTTAAGGATGGAATTGAAAACCAAAAGGCTCTGCTCAGCATCACTCCAGCCCCAGGCTTCAAAGCCAGGGGAGGCAGTAGCCTGGTGAGAGGAGAGGAGGCATGTAGGCTGGGGTGCTGAGTGCTTGCAGCAAGAGTAACAGACCTGAGGTCAAGTGGAATTGGGAGACCCTGGTCCTGTTGTGTCCCCGCCTGGTAGCAGCTCATGAAACCTTCACTCCGTAATACAAGTCATGACCTAGGGAGGGTGATACCAGATATCCCATCCTGCAAGGGTCACGTGGGAAGAGAATAACAATTTTCTTATTCTTCTGTGCAAGGGCACAGTTTCACCTACAAGGTAGAGAGGTAAACCTTGTTCAGGCTGTGCTGGAAGTGGGTGGGGAAGTCACTGTTCAGTCTCAAGCTGAGGAAATCCTTGAATGTAGGTCTTCTTATTCCTAGGCAAGTGGATCCAGACTTACAAAGGCACCTATGGACAGAGGTTCAGATAGGTGAGAATTTCCAGGTCCAGTGGGAATGCCCCAAAAATGCCTGAGAAAGCTTGCAGCATCGCTCACGTTAACTGTAGTGCAAGTTAGACTTGCAGAACCAAGCTTCTAAAAGATTTCAGCATCTTTTAAGTACCTGGCTGAAGTTGGCTGATTTTTTTTAGAGGTGCTCCTACTTTCCCCTTGCAAGATCCACTGGGAATGACAGGTTGTCTCTATAGATAATGCTGGTCCTGAGCTGGTTTCTAAAAACCTGTCTACAGCTTCTGTTGTTTAGTCACATTTATCTCTTCTATGATGCTGCTCTGAGAGTTTGATAAGAGGTGATCTAGCCTCCTCTCTCTATAGTTGCTCCTACCTCGCCTCCTTGCTCCACATGGGTATGAGCTCCCCAAAAATTAGAGTTCACTGGCACTCATTAATTCCCACTACGAAAAGGAGATAGCTTGAGTCATCTGAAAAGATTGTTGCTTCTTTGAGTGACTGTTTAATAATTGCACTGGTCTTTTCGTTTTGTTTTTCACTTATCTCAACCAGCTAGAACTGAAACCTCAAGGGCGAATGCTGATGAATGCAAGATACTTCCTGGAAATAAGTGGCAAGTGATTTTGTTTGTTAATTGATCGATGTGATTGCTGGTTATGCGGGGTAGGCATGGTGTCTTCACTGAAAGCAGTGCCTATGTTCTTACTGATTTATTCATAGGAACGACTTGAAAGGAACACTCCAGAAAAAGCAGTTTTTATTGTATGGTGGAGACAAAGATTGACTGTTCCTCTGTGATTTGCAAGGCAGATTTTCAGCTGATTTACCACTAAAATGGTAGATTTTCTTGTTACTCTAAGGTAGAATAGATACATAAGGAGCCAGCTCCCTCTGAAATCATTCTACCTGTATGTATGCATGTAGCATGTGCTGTGGTGTGCATTACGTTGTAAACGTTGGGATATAACTTCTGGTTGACCACACCTATGTGTTAGTTGGGATCTTAAGGTCAAGATCAATCTAAGCAAACCAGAAAAAGAACGTAGAGAGCGATTCATCTGATTAAACGCAGGTTTCTGTGGCAAGGTGAGCTGAGCCGTTGACTGGGCTCCATTGCCTGCTCCAGCTAGACCTCCAGGGACACGGCAGCAGCTTAGTCACCCTGGACAGGGGACACTCCATCATTTACCTGCCTTCACCGGGAACCAAACCCCACCTGCAGAGTTTGGTGTCCATGTGAAATCCATTCTGCTTTGTTGAAGATAGTTGGTTGCAATCCAAATGCTCATTCTCCTGTCTTTGATGCCAAAGTGCTCGCTGCCTTTCACAGATGCGGGGTGAAGCTGTAAGGTGTAGGTACCTACAAGGACCTGCCATTTATAGAAACACAGAAGTACTGAAAGCAGCAAACAGCATGTTCATACTGATATTTTCTTTATCAATTCCTACCTTTAATATAGAAGAGACTATTGTTGCCTCCTTATGTGTTATATCAGAGAGGCCAAAGCACAGAAAAAGCAAGTGTTTGTATTACAAATAGCAAGATCAGCATCGGATCACACAGGAGGCCAGTTTCCACAGAATACCTATGTAACTTGCTGTGTAATGCATGAGTAAAACAAAACAGAGATTGAGAGTGAGATATTGTGTGTACATCCAGATCTGTAGACACAAGCACATATAGATAAGTGCACACATCTATATGAATGTGTAGTGCACGTTGGTTTGTTTGCTGTTCTAAAAAGTTTAAAAGTGAACTGCGAATAATGGCATGGACACAGCAAACAGCAAAGCAGTTGTTGGCATGAAAAATTAACATGAAAATATCCTAGGAGGATACATATGTGCTTACTCAAACACACGTTCATGCACGCATAAAGGATTCAGTTAAATACCCACATATATATACACACATGTGTTTGTGTGCATATATAGATAATTAATAACATTTATGTAATTGTGTCTCTTTTAGGGCATGGTTCTTCGGTGCTGTGCAAAGTTAGAGTTTTATGTTCAACTGAAAATTATCCCTCCTTGGGAAATTTCTGGTCTACATTTCAAAAGCAGCATTATGAATATCCAAGGGAGCTCAGAGTCCAAAGTTTAAAGTCAGTTTAGTGTCCTTTGTAGGAATGGCAGATAAAAAACATCCAAACAAGCCTTGTCTGGGTTTCAGAAGAACGTATTTCTTAAAAATACTGCTTTCTGTGAGTGAATCATTAGCTTCAGTCACTTAGGATTCTGGCAGCTGCATTTTCTCAGGGTGCATGATCAGGACAGGGTACCCTAACGAATCTTCGGTTTCCTTTCCTCCCAGATGCAAAGGACCTGTCCGACTGTGAGACTGAAGGCTTTTTCTCCTTACACCAGCGCAGGGGAGCCATCAAACAGGCCAAAATCCATGATGTCAAGTGTCATGAGTTCACAGCCACCTTCTTTCCACAACCCACCTTCTGCTCTGTCTGTCATGAGTTTGTATGGTAAATGAAAATAGATCTATGCATTTTCCCCTTTTAATCCTAGGGACCACTTCTTGTGTAAACGTGGACATGGCGTAGTGGTGGACATAGCAGTGTTAAGTTTATGGTTGGACTCAATGATTTTAAAGATCTTTTCCAACCTAAATATAATCAGAAGATCTGTCGGTAAAGGCAGCAGAACCAGACCCTTGGTATCTTACTTGTAGAGTTATTGCATCACTTCAAGGATGTGGTTCAGGGTTGTAATTCCAACTGTGAAAATTCCCTTCATTTTTTTTTAGTTTATTTTTATAAATATTTTTGTCTTTGGCCAAATGCATAGACATGTCTCATCAGCTCAGTTTGTTATTTGGATATTGTGAAATTCAGGATGTGAACATGTGTTGAAAAGGCTGTGAAAGCCACAGAGAATCACTACGCTGGATTGAATGAAGATTATTTAGATCAGAGAAGCTCTATAAAGACTGATAAAAAGCAAAGCTGTTTTATTCTTTTCTTTCATAAATGTTGCTCTCCTTTCTGCTGCTGAGGCTTTCAGAAAACTCAGAATTAACATTTTCTCTGTTTATTTCAGGGGTCTGAATAAACAAGGCTATCAATGCAGACGTAAGAAACTTCTTTGATTTTGTTACCATCATTGTTTACTTGATCCTTTCTTAAGGAAATATTTTTATTAACACCAGGACACATTTGGGTTTTTTTCAGAATGTAATGCTGCCATTCATAAGAAGTGCATTGATAAAGTAATAGCCAAGTGTACAGGATCAGCAATCAACAGCAGAGAAACAATGGTATGTATTATTATTTGGCTGCTTTTAGAAAACTTGGGCGTCATTCAGAGCTCTCTGACATTGCCGTAAAACAACTTCTGGCGAAGGAAAAGGTGCTACTGAGCTAAAGTCTGTGCGATCTGATCTCTGCCCTTTGTTTTTTACTTTCCCAGCAGTTTCATTACCTCCTACTTCTGATTTACTCAAATGCAGCTGCTGAATAAGCAGTTGCTGAGTCAGGACTGCCGTTTTCCTAATGCATGAAGTACAGCTCAGAGGGAAGTCGTGGACATGAGGTGGAGGTTCACTGGAGGAAATTCTTCACTACATGATGTTAGGCAGGACATCACACTGAATTTTCAGAGCAGTATTTTAACATCCCACTTCATGATACCTGAGATTTCCAAATAGTCAGGGGAAGATCTAGCACCTCCACTATTATTTATTTTATTTTTCTCATATCAGTTTATTATAAACCTTTTCTGGTGGGCTAAAGTTGAATTTAACTCTAGGTAGTACTATTCCCTTTTTCTTAATGGTGTCCCACCACTTCTCTTTGCTTCCAGTCCTACCCTGGCTCCTATTCTCTTTTCACAGTCTTTAGAAATGAGATTCATCTCACCTGTCTTCTGACATCTCCAGGGTAGATGTACCCAAATTTGTCACCACCTTTGACTCCCTATAAACTAAAAGAAGAAAAATAGGTTCTTCCAAAGAATGACAGCAAATGTAGACATCCATTTCAGGATGGGTTTCATAATTTTTAGAAGCACTGGTGTTTTTCCACTGAGCTTTAAGGGAGTCTGGGTACGTAGCTGAGATGCAAGTTATCTGGTCAGATAAATCAAGACCAGGGATCGAGTTACTCAGTTCCCACTGAATTGCATAGATATAACGTATCAAAATTTAGCTTTGTATGTCTGAATGATAGTTACAGATAGTTTCATTTTGGTGGTCATATTCAAGGATAAAGGGGCAGTAGACATCCCACCTCCTGTGGTACAAGTCTGGGGGCTGGCTGTTGGTTTTCTGTGCAGAGCTGAGGTGGAGAGGGGTGAATTGCCAACACAGCTTTTCTTTTGCAGTTCCATAAAGAGCGGTTCAAGATTGACATGCCTCACCGCTTCAAAGTCTACAACTACAAGAGCCCAACTTTCTGTGAGCACTGCGGCACGCTCCTCTGGGGCCTTGCACGGCAAGGACTGAAGTGTGATGGTGAGTCTCTGATGTATGGCATGAGCTGAGCACGGGAATGGATCATTCTTTTTATAGGGTTGCAATCTGAAAAGCCAAATCTCGTTTATCACACTTCTCTACAAGACCTGTATGAGATAGCATCCAGGGTGGTGAAGGAGTGGTTGAGAGGACCGTCCTTCAAGGAGGATCATTCAAAGAGGACAACTGCCTGTATACAAGAAGAGATGTGGTCCACGAGGTCAAAGAGTCACTTCCCAGAGAGGCAAAGAACATCTCAGTGAACTGCTGATCTTCCAGAATCACCCCTAGTATCGACTTGCAAGCTCTATTTCCAATATCAGACAGACCCAAGACACTTCACCATCTTCCTAATCATATACCAAAAGGGAGATCCTGTTCTGTGATTACAGTTTATCTCTGAGCTGAGAGACTGTAGAGTTTTGGTAGCCTGCAGCTGCAAAGACTGATGGATATAGAAATGCCACCTTTTGTCCAGAAGAAGATATAAAAAACCCTCTGTTTCCATAGAGAACCAAAAAATGACCTGAGTGCCATCTCATGAGACATAAATGGCACCCAGTCTTTGAGCTCTTTATGTGGCTGATCTCTGCCCTTGACCATGAGCAGCACGTGTTCCTGCCCAGCTGAGGGTTTGACATGTTGTCAAACAGCCTAGCTATTCTTCGTTGTCCTGACATCTCTTGTTCTTTCTTTCAGCATGTGGCATGAACGTCCATCACAAGTGCCAGACAAAAGTAGCAAACCTTTGTGGAGTTAACCAGAAACTAATGGCTGAAGCTCTGGCGATGATAGAGAGCACCCAGCAGGTAAATATTTTAAGCCTTAACAGACCTGGAGAAAGGATGATCTGTTGTTCAATGTTTGTGTCAGTGAAGGAAATAAGGGCGTTGAGTAGAGTGATGTGGGTAGCAAGTTCAAAGTATAGACTAGGAAATGGGTCCTTCATGGAGTAGGTGGTTAAGCTCATCTCAGCCCTTTGTGGAAGCCAAAAGTTTACATGGGTTCAAGTGACAATCTCCAATGTTCATTCCATTCAGGAATACTAGAATGTCTAATTGTGTTAATAGAAAAGCCCTGCCTTTGAGTCGGGAAATCTCTGAGCCACTTGTCTCTGGAAATAGAGAGAATATTCTGAGGAGATGACTTTGCATGCCTGAACTCTTCCTCACATCTTTACCTGGTGTTTGCCTGATGCCCGTTGCAGACAAGACATGACCTGGATGGACTCTTGCTCTGATTCAATACAGTTGTAGTTACATCATGTTCTGTAGTTGTGTAACAGGGCCCAAGGCAGAGTGGGAGGAACTTGATTTGGGTCCTTTTGCTGTTGCTACCTTGTCCTGTGGCTCTCAGATCTGTTTGGAATGAAACTCCCCAGAGCATGGACTCTGATGAAGAGATCTGGGCCTTGGGGAGAGGATCTAGATGCTACTGTCATGTAAACAACACTGTATGAACACAGAAAATTGAATTCAAAGAAGAAAAAATAGTTTGTCGCAAGCCCAAAATCATAAAAGAGTTTAGAGAGTCTAGTTCAAAATCAGGATTAAGATGCCTCTTGGCTCTTGAATAACCTCAGAGAGAGACAAAATCTGTAGGTGCCTCATTCTCCATATTTAGGTTACTCAAGTATCCCAAGGCAGCATCTTCATCCATACAGCAGCTGTTTTTCCATTTATACCTTCCCGAGGGACTATCTACCAGGTTTAGCTCTGCATATTTCTCACCTTTATGTGACAGGTAGTGCTGCCAAACCTCCAAAGAGGATTTTTTTTTTCTGCTCTTGCCTCTCTGTTTCCTACCTGCTGTCTCTCTGCAGCTCCTTGCACTGCATACTTGAAGCCACCATTGAGAGGTGAAGAGGGCAAACACTAGATACTTTCCCCAGAATACTCATCTAATCTCCAGAAATTCAGGCTTTGGGAACTTTTTGAGCCATAGGTGGAGTCTTATTGTTTAGTAGCCCTCAAAGGATTTATCTTTCATGCCTTTGCCTCATCACCCTTGAATTCAGACAAACTCACCTTCTGCAACCCCCTAGTGCAAGGACTTCAGAGTGACACCCAGACACTGCACTGGGATGAGGCTGCAGCATCTTCCAGCCTCTAGTATTTTAACAGATTTTTTTTCTTCAAAGAGGACTATTGGGAAGCAAGTTGTTAATTAAAATGCCCTTTGTTTGAACAGCCAGGGATTCAGCCCCCTGTGCAAAATAGGGATTCTCTATATCTGGAGTACAAAGACGTGTTAACACCCACACACATCTCGCAGAAGTTTATGAGTTCCTCTACATTACCAAATCCCTAAATGTTAGGTACAGAGATGCTCTTCTCATAAGCAGAGACATCTTCTAGATCTTGTCTTCTGTGACAGTCACACTCAGGAAGCCACAGTGTCCATAAGCTCATTTGACTCATTTGGCTCAGAAGTTATTTGCCGTTTTCCGTAATCCAGGCTCGTTGTCAGCGGGACACTGAACAGATCTCCAGGGATGGACCTCTTGAAATTGGTTTCCCAGTTCCTGTGAAGGAGGTAACACCACTTCAGGCATTGCCAGCATCTACAACAGGAAAAAAAGGTAGTTTCCCCTAGTGATATGGGACAGCGGGCTTTGTTAATTTTTTTGGCTCGTACATGGTTGGGTGGAGGTGACAAGGGTGTGGAATTTATTAGCCATTGAATCTTTCATGCATCTTTACAGCCTAGAGCAAGACATACCCTTTCTCATCCCGGGATATCAACAGCTCTTGCCAGCCACATCACTTGGGCATGGCAGATACCCCAGATCTCAACCTGTTTCCTTTCCTTTCTATAAACCTGCACTTCTCCCGTGCCATCCCAACCTCTGGTGACATGAGACACCAACCACCACTCATTCAGCTAACTCCTAAACTCTCTTTCTGACCTGGTGCTTGAGCACACCTCATACCTCCACTGGCAATAATGTGTTTATTCCCTTCTTGGGACTTGTAGACTGTAAAATCTGAGAATTTTAAAGACAAACCAAGCTCTAAACAAGAGACTTGGAATCCTTCTGATCACCATGGCCAATTCTTTTTCTGATTTCATATTTTTGGGGGCAGGAATTGATATCCAGTACCTTTGAAAACCATTGCCAGATTCCCACTTCATTAACTCAGAAGCTGACCTAGGTGTCATGGCCCTCTGTGCTACAAGAACAGATGTTTGGGAGGGTGAATGAGAGACTGGGGAAAAGCATTGATTAACAGACCTTGGCCAAAGCTACTGGGGACTCAGTGGCCTGAAACAAAAATCACAGTCTGCTGGGGAGACTTGTTTTTCTGCTTTGTGCTTGAGTCACAGAACTCTGAATATTGGGAACAAAATGTCGCTATCTTTCATCAGACCCATGTGGCCCATGTAAAAGGCCATTTCAGGACCCCTCCAGCTTCATGGTTCATGGTACCCTTCCAAGAACTGTACTGTAACTGTAGCAGACCTATGATGGCACCGACACACTGCTGTTCTGCCTCCCACTAGCTTTAGAATGCATTTAACAGAAAGGGGAGGGGAAAAAAAAGAAGATTACAAGTGAATCAATACTTTACAGCAAGGACTGGGACAGTGGGTCCTCAGCTCCAACCCTAACCCAGGCTGAGAGCCCAGACCCCACCATCATCCACTTTCTCAATGCAAGTTGATACTGCCCTGTGTGGAAACTGGACCTAGAGCAAAATGCCAGAAGACACTGGCTAAAGGACAGCAGAGCCACATTATACCGGTGCTCTGGGTTTGATACTGTACAGCTCCAGGCTACCAAGCTTCCAAGGCTGGTTTTGGTACCACCTGAGCTAAGGGAATAGTGCCCTTTGTCCCCCAGGCAGAAATAAATGATGTCCCCATCTGTTCTTATTTTCTTTCTTTTCTACAAGTAGAACTGGCTATGCTGACTTGAATCAGTAAAACCTCAAATGGTTTCAAATCTGATTTACCTGTGGCATCTGTTTGTCTGCTGAGTAGTGTTCTTGCTGTTCAGCAACTTCGGACAGTCCAGCAAATGTGCACTTGGGTACATGGGATAAATCTGTTAATGGACAGAGAAGTTTGCATATATCCAAGTGAATGGAATATTGATGAAACTCTGAATAGTTTCACTCCAGGATAGCTAATGTACTTGATCAGAGCTTCATATTTGGAGCAGGGACCCAATATAAAATTGCTGTCCCAACTTTTCACATATTAGCTTTGCCAAGGGTCTTGAAAAGGCCTTGAAAAAATTGGACCACATCGTAACAGCAACCAACAAGAAGGAATGAAGAACACAGGTAGCCAGAAATGAAGAGTTTGGTCATGTTTTGCTGCCATAAAACAGAAAGACAAGTGAAGAAGTTTGTCAAGTGGGTCTAATGCCAGTGAAGAAGGTGGAGTTACATTGGAGTAAAATTTCCTTCAGAGAGAAAGCAATGTGGGAGCAGAGCCAATCTACTTAGTTGATGTGGCCACCACTTTTCCATTTATTTGAAATGCCCTTTTAAAACTCTAAATACTGTAAGTGTTCTGGGGATTTTCTGCTTGTTTTTTTGAATGGTTTGATATGTGTTGCAGAGCCACAGGGCATCTCCTGGGAGACTCCAGTGGTGGACACAGTGAAGGAGGAGTCGCTAATAGAGTCAGACTTGGGAGAACAGCCCCAGGAACAGGAAGAGCACCAAGTACAGCTAAAACTAACCATTGAGGACTTTGTCCTGCACAAGATGCTGGGGAAGGGCAGTTTTGGCAAGGTAAGTATCAGGGCACTAGATGCCACTGCATAGGTCTGCATATTGATTATTATGGCACTGAACAGCATGTGATTTGAAGACCATTTAGGAAAAAAAAAATCCCAAAGCCCTCAAAGAACCTTTGCTCTGTCATGGCTGAGTCTTGAACTCGGTCTTCTCCTTGCCAAAGACAAAGATTTTCCTTGCCATTGCCCCATTAGTTCGCTGTCTCATGAGAGGAAAGCAGCCAAGTAAAACTTCAGCTTCCCCTTCTGTGCGGGTTGATGGGGCCTGGGCATCCACAGAGAGCTGGTGGGAAAGATCTCTGTGCTGATCCCCTTCATGCAGCTACTCCTGCCAACTTAGCTGGGCAAGCATTAGCTGAAAAGTTGAGAGTGGATCGCCTCTCCCCTCCAGAGCAGCAGGTCCCCACCTGGGAATGCTGACTGCTCTTTCCCAGCTCCTATCTGTGCTGCAGTGTAAAGCAAATTTTGCGACAGCCAAGAATTTTGTGCTTCTGAAACAAGAACCACCTGTTTCCAGTGGATTCGTTAATCTTGATGAATTGTGGATCGTTCCTCATTCTTGCAGACGTCCCCTGGAAGGGGACTTGTGTTATTCAGTGCCAGCGCTGAGCTGCATGAAGCAATTTCAGAGGAACTCACCACTGTATTTTCACAGCCAGTAAGGAGAATGAGTACAATTATGTATCACGTTGTTCAGATCCCACATCTTTGCAAGGTGGAAACTGTGCCTCTAAAAAGACAGCCTGCTTTTTGCCTTCTAAGTGAGCTGGAGTGGTTGCTGCAGCTAGTTCTTAAACTGGTGAAATATTTGCTGTGTAGACTTTCCATACTTCAAAATACTCGACGTGTCTACAGTTTGCATGGGGAGCAGAGCTGAGGCATCTGAGTTAGAGCTAAGACAGAATACCCCAAAATCCACAGCCCAGACTAGCTTGGAATCAAGAGCATAGATGTCATAGAAACATTTATGTTGGAAGGAAGGGACCTCTGGAGGCCATCTAATCCAACCTGCTGCTCAAATCAGATGAGGTTGCTCAGGGGTTTATCTAGTCAAGTCTTGAACACCTCCACTGAACTAGCTTCTGTACTTTGCCTCGGCCCCCTGTGTTAACATGGGCTCTCCAACCCTACAAGTGCCTGCATCTCTCTACAGGGCACCATGTGGGTGTGGAGAGGATGGGCTATTTCATGCCTTTCTGCAACAAACCTCACCCACAAGTTTCCTGTGTATGTGTTGCTCCTGGTGCCCTTATTTGCTTGGAGTGAGATTTACTTCCCCATAGAGGGGACAGGGTGTGCAGATCTCAGTGCCTGAGGGGTCTCTCCAGCTCTGCACGGGCCAGGGAGATTGAGGGGCAAACCTGTGAAGAAGCCCCCTCTGCGTGAAGTCTAGCATTGCCTACCCGCACCTTGGAAGTCACAGCACAAGTCACAAATGTACTGCGTTCCCCAGTTTCCCTAGGAGAGCAGTGCCCTGCACAAAATGGGGGTAAAAAGGGTGCCTGCAGCATCAGCACTGTTAGCATTTCTGGTCATTCACTGCAGAGACAGAGGGAGGCTCTAGGCTCTACTCTCTGTCTAGTGCTACAAAGTGAAATGCAGCAGTAGCCAAAAGGGTAAATAAAACTTTTTTGTCAGGGCTAACACATGTGTGAGCTTACTCAGTAAATAGTGCCTGGTGGAGAACTTCAAAGACCCCTTTGATGAATCTTACGCATTTATTCAGCCTATGGGAAACAGCATCGACAGGCTGTTAGTGTAAAGATCAGGACTGGCACTGCCTTCCAGCAGAGACTTCTTTGCTCTGTGGTCTCTAGAAAACCCTTCTCTGCTGCTCTGTGTGTCATTTTCCTTGCCCATAAAAATAGATAGAGGTCCTAACTCCTCTGGGGTGTGTTTTACCATTCTCGGCGAAGCAGCCCTGGAGGAGCACAGGGGACCCAGACTGTTTGCTCAGGCCTCCTGCTAACTGGGAGGAAGGGAAGAAAGTCACATCTGATAAAGTCTAACTACTGATGGACATCACTTTACACCTGCAGAGGATCTGGTGCAGGGTATTTGCATTTCACATGTTGACAAAGCAATATTCTGTTTTGTTATTTGAAGTCAGAAAACAGGAAATGTATCTCAGGAGTATTTGCATAAAGATGGTTTCTGTTACCAAAAGTGTTTGGGTCTCTGACATGTCCTGCTCATACAGGCATGTAGCCCCTGCTCTTGTAGTCGCCAAGACCTTCTCATCCCTCCCTTGGGGTTCAGCTTCATAAAACTATTCTGGGTGTGGGGAACAAACTCAAAGTCTACAAAGTCTTAATGGCAGATGTGGGCCTTAAACATCAGCTTTTGTAAGGTCTACCCTAGTGAATTCCCCAGAGCTCAGCTCCCATCCTCACATGGCCGTGTTGCCAGCCCGGAGAGAAGAGCATCACTCTTTTCTGAGCAGCTCTTTCCACCCTAGGTGTTTCTTGCCGAGCTAAAGAGCACAGATCAGTATTTCGCTGTGAAAGCCCTGAAGAAGGATGTGGTGCTGATGGATGATGACGTTGAATGTACGATGGTGGAGAAGAGAGTCCTCTCCTTAGCTTGGGAGCACCCATTCCTGACTCATGTCTTCTGTACGTTCCAAACCAAGGTAAGACAAGCATCTGTCACCTTCCTGCTCGGGCTGAGGATGTTTAGATGAAATACGGATATTTGGTGAAGTGCTTAAGTCTACTAGATGTTATAGTTTGGACATGAAGTGGTGCTAAGGGAAGGGATCTTCAGGTTAACCGCTTGGGAAGTGGCTATGAAATCTCATCTGCCTTCCCTACATTAACCTGGGAGACAGGTGGGAAATTTGAAGATTATGGCATCCAAGGCTGGTAGAGGTGGCTATGCAGAGACCCACTACTAAAATCTGCATCCTGATACCCTGGGCCGAGGATGTGCAAAGGCCACATCCACGGCCAGGGTGCAGATGTGCCCACAATGGTGCTGTCTGAACGTCCTGGACCATAAATCAGTATGCTGAAGAGACCGTCCTGGATCAGAACTAACTCAAAAAAACTCTGGTTGTGGAGAATAAACATGCTGTCATTCGCTTTGGGAATCTTCTTGGCCCCCAGTTACTGTTAAATCACCTGAAATCCTGCTTAGGACTCCAAACTAAAATTGAAATGACATTTAAGTGATGTTCACAGCCCTACATTGCAACAAACCACCAACTGATTAGCTTTCCAGAGCCTTTTCTACAGCCACAACCAATCATCTTAACACTAAAGCACACACAAGGCCTAGGAAAAAAAAAAAAACAAAACAGTGGAAGGAAATGTGAGAGATTGTCTTGTCTGTCCAACCTGCTCAAACCACTTCTGAGAGATGCTGGCTATCCTTGAGCTCAAATTCAGAGCAGCAGCAATCTCTCATATCTGTTTGTTCAGGGTTTTGTTAGGATGCTCCCAGTCCCTGCTCAGTCACAGGATTTAGTGACACAAAACATTGCTTGGTGTGTGGTTAGAACCTGCTCAGCAAGAGCCTTGCTGCTTCTGCAGGGTCAGGAGAAACAAATATAACCTCTGTGGTATATCCCAGTTGCCTGTGGGATGCTGCACCTGTTTAAAGACTGATTAAATTTATAGCAGGGAAGGTCTGGGAACTGCTGCAGGCAATGTGACAGTAAGCCCAGGCACTCACGTTTAACCCCTTCAGAACTGTTGGTGAGGACAGCATGTCCTGGGAATGGATCCTTGTCTGGAGAGGAAGGGAATTAATTTCCTTTTTTGGGGGGCTAGATTTCAGAGGAAAATATAAATGACCCAACTGCAAAAGCAAAGAAAATCAAGACTTAATTTAAAAAAAAAAATATTCACAATAGTCACAGCTCTAGAAAGGAATTTATACTCCAGGGAGAGCTGCTTATGCTGCCTGTAACTCCAGGTGCCCAAGGGGATGTCAACTGATGTCAGTGGCTGACTTGCATTTAGCAGCAGAATCATCTTGTCTGTGGCCCAGCCCTGGTCCAACCCTGGTCTGGAAGGTGGAGGTCAGGTTGGGATGGGTACAGCAGTGGCAGCCTGCAGCTCTGCTTTCAGGCAGTGCATGCATGCAAGTGTCCTCTTATGAGACCGCATGTGGTGGGCTGACCCTGGCTGGATGCCAGGTGCCCCCCAAAGCTGCTCTGTCACTCCCCTCCTCAGCTGGACAGGGGAGAGAAAATACAATGAAAGGCTTGCGAGGCGAGATAAGGGCAGGGAGGTCAGTCACCAGTTACCATCACAGGCAAAATGGGCTTGAGTTGGGGAAATTAGTTTATTACCAATCAAATCAGAGGAGGATAATGAGGAATAAAAGCAAAATTTAAAAATACCTTCTCCTCAACTCCTCCCTTCTTCCTGGGCTCAGCTTCAGTCCTGATTTTCTCTATCTCCTCCCCGCCAGCTGTGCAGGGGGATGGGGGAATGGGGAATGGGGGCTGTGGTCAGTTCACCATGTGCTGTCTCTGCCGCTCCCTCCTCCTCAGGGGAGGACTCCTCACACTCTGCCCTGCCCCAGCGTGGGGCCCTCCCCGGGCTGCAGGTGGAGATCTGCTCCTCCGTTCCCCTCCCTGGGCTCAGGGCACAGCTGCCTCCCCACGGGCTGCCCACGGGCTGGGGGGAACCTCTGCTCCGGGCCTGGAGCACCTCCTGCCCTCCTGCTTCACTCACCCGGGGGCTGCAGCGTTGTTTCGCTCACATGTTCTCACTCCTCTCTCCGGCTGCAATTACTCGGGTTTTTCTCCCCTTTTTAAACACGTTATCCCAGAGGCGCTACCACCACGGTGATGGGCTCAGCCTTGGCCAGTGGTGGGTCCATCTCCATGCTGGCTGGCATTGGCTCTGTTGGACATGGGGGAAGCTTCTAGAAGCTGCTCACAGAAGCCACACTAGTAGCCCTCCACTATCAAAACCTTGCATCACAAACCCAATACACCCCAACAAAAAGATGACAGACAAATGGAGTCATGTCAGCAGCCAGATTGGATTTACTGATCATTTAGGGAGGGACTGTGCTTCCAGCTGCTGACTCAAGGAAAACCTGCAGAATGGAAAAGCAATGACTGCCAGAAAAAAACATGGGTGCCAGGCTCAAAAACCCAAGTGATCTTTTCCTACACTGTCTTATGGGCAACATTACAATATTGTCCTCTTGACATATAGAAAGCATCTCCATCCATCTCATCCCAAGTCAAGATTGTCACCTTAAAGTTATTTGATCTCTCCATTTGCCCTCAAGTTTATAGACAAAGTTGGAATGTGGCTGCCCAGGCCAAAGCTGCTCTGGGCTGTGATTGATTTCTAGCTTATGTTTTTCTCCTCTGACCTTTGCAAGCCAAGTGGCAATCGCTCAACGTGTGAAAGTCATTCAGAGCAGGAGAGCTGTGACAAGCCATGGGCAGTCTTTCACGGCTCAAAGGACAGCATGGTTCACTCGTAATATCTTTTGGAGCAATCATTTTAGAAGCCAGAGCACTGCTCTGTAGTCCCTCTCTGGACTTAATATTGAAAACTTGAATTTTCAATTGATTTTTTTTTAAAAAAGGTTTCACTGAGTAGGTAAGTAGTTTCGAACAGAAGTGCATGTGTCAGTGCTGTTCTGAATCTCTAATGGTTTGACTCTCAAGGTTTCTGAGCTGCTTCAGGCACTGAGTGCCTCTGCAAAGGACAGTAAACCCAGGAATATTCCTATGCTCAGAGAACCACCTCAGTAGTCCCCGTGTCTCCAGAGGGAAAAAAAAAAAAGTCATAATCTGTTGACAGTTGTCTGAGCTCTGGGATTAGTTTCTTCCTGGCCTCAACCCAGGTAGTCAGTGAATGCTGAAATATATAAAGCTTGACAGCCCTTCAGACAGGTTTTCGTAGGCACCAGGCACCTAACACTCCTTTTTATTCCTGCAGAGGCCGAACCATCAGTGCTTTCGAAACTCAGAACACTTGTCATGTTTTGCTACATGAGAATAAATTCAAACGCATGTGGTTTGGTTTTGGTTTTTTTTTCCTGATCTGTTTTTGAACTTGACTGTTTTATTTTACTGCAGTAATCTTTGCATCCAGATATTCAGCTGCCATAATTATATGGTGTGAATTTTAACAGAAAGCTCAGAGAGTTATTCTGTTGTACTAGATTTAAAGGGACACTGTTATGTTAGAGAGGAGGAAAAACATGTTTATAATTCTGTGAAATCCCAAAATTAGTAATGCCAAAACAGTGACTAGCATCCCAGTGCTTTTTGAATTTCACTAATCTTCTGTGATAAAAATAGGCTTTCCCTTTTTGAAAGTCGCTTGTTGTTTCTAACTGTTTCTTTACTTCATTGACCAAATTCTTATTCACAGCCTTTACCTAAATGCAAATTAAGTCCTGAGGCGTTTTGGCTTGTAGCACAAAATAGCAATACAGAAGACTATCTCAAACCAAAAGAGAAGTAATCTTCATTGCAATTTAAAAGCAACTGTTACAGAAAACAATTCTTTTCTGCTTTACTAATGTATGATACCTTTTCAAAGTCCTGGTGGTGAGCCATTTTCACATGCTTTGTTGTTTTAATGTTCTTAATACTGACTTTAAAATCTCTTACATTGGCAGGAAGGAGAAAAGGATTGTAAATAAGGAGTGTGATCCTAATTTAAAAATTATTAGGCTCTGTTTTCCATGAGCATTTTTAGGATATTTCTCATTAAAATATCTCCTTGAAGGAAATCACAATTCCTGTAAAATTTGCCAAGGGTTATTTCACTTTTCTTCTATGTCTTGCATTTAGGGGGACAGGGCTGGATTATTTGACCTTAATCAGAGCCTGTAGGTTGGCACATGCACATTTCACACCCATTTGATGTTCAGCTGTGCCATGGACCTTCTGAGCAGCCCTGGATCAGGCCCACGTGCCCTCCCCAAGCAATGCAGGATCCTCTCTGACCACAGCATGGCCGCAAGATGCTGATGCATTGCAGAATTCACCCTCCAGGGAGGTGAGGTTGCAATCCTTGACTTCCAGCACCGCTGAACAACTGAAACACAGCAAAAGATTGGATGGACTAAACTAAAGACTCAACAAAAATCTTGGTCACAAGACGAGGTGTTCTGTGAGGTTAGACCAGATATCTTTGTAGCCAGCATCCTAGTTTTCATATTGACCTTGAAGGAAGAGAGTACAGGACAACGCAATGATTTTTCCCTTGTACAAAGCATTCAGTCATTTGGGAGACACGGTCTTGAAGCTCCAGGGTTTCTAGGTTTCCATCCTAGTATTCTGGGGGAGATACATCAGCCTGGAAACGTCTGATTCGAGGCTAGTTGGCCAAATTTATACCAGCTGATGGAAAAGTTGGGAAAGAATTGGAAAGTTGAGGGAGGCTTTGGGGATTTTGCCTCTGGCAACCAGCAGACAGGAAAGTTGGCAAGGTCTCATTCAATCCTGGCCAAAATTTCAACATGGTTCAGTAGAAATAGCAGTGTCTCAGCAGAACCTTGGGATTTCAGCAAAGTTCTGCCAGAGAAGGTGTGAGCAGCTGTAATTATAACATCAAAAATATGAAGTCCTTACAAGACACTTCTAGGTGGTGTCAGTCCATGTGGTGTGAACAGGTGGAGTGTATTGGCAAGGAAAAAAGGAGG